ATAGCGTTTCTTCTTCAGTTTGCCATTAATTTTTCTCAGGGCCGGCTTTCATATTTAGTTGACTTGTATTTTGAATATGGCCAAAGATGATTTTCTGTATGAAGTGGTTTATTATGACAGTTTTTTAAGGTGGGCTTGTATTCTCGGACAAATATATACAAATTGCTACTTACCTTCCAAGCAGCACTATATACGGATTTGGAGAAAATATTCACGAAAACCTTAAGGTTTTTTAGATCAATTTATTTTCCTAAAATTTTTTGGTGAACAATCATTATAACTAATCTGATTCTTCTGACTAACCGATACTTGGAGGAGTATTTTCGGTGTGTAGTAGAATAAGATTTTGCAAATTGACATCGTTTTTAGCACGATTTATCAAAGTACACTACTTGGGGCATGCTCGCCAGAGATGAACCTCCAAACTCGAAGGGCCATGACAGAAAAAATCTTTATGGTGTTCATCCATTTTACATTTGCTTGGAGAGTGATGGGAATGCTCATGGAGTACTAATCTGGAACAGCAATGCTCAGGTTAGCCCAAATTTGCCAGCTGTTATGGCTTATAATTACAGTGACTTTCCCTGTCGTATTTGTATTTTTCGAAATCAAGAAGGATTTTGAATTCAAAAAAACTAAAATTTTAAGTTATTTAGCTACCCTGAAGTAATGATTACATTCAGGAAGTGACGACGGGACCAAATCCTCATTTAGTTTATCGTACGATCGGTGGTTTGCTAGACATGTACTTTTTCCCAGGACCAACACCGGAAGATGTCATCAAACAGTATTTAGCTCTTGTTGGACGGCCAATGCTACCAGCTTACTTTGCGCTTGGCTATCAAGTAAGAACTGTTTTGTTTTTCCTAATGCTTTAGCATCAATATATGTATCAAACACTTTACACCTTCATTTCAAGCTTTTCAGTTTTGCCTTACCCTACTGAATATGTTTTATTCAAATTTCGTGTTATTCAGCTCTCTCGTTACGGCTATAAAGATCTGGATGAAATGAAGGCTGCAGTAGCTCGTGTTCAAAAACATGGAATCCCTTTAGATATTCCTTATGCTGATATAGATTACATGAACCGCTATAAGGACTTTACTACCGGCGACGTTAGTATATTACTTTAGTGTACTTCTTCTGCAGAGTAGTAGCTGTAGTTTCTTCATACTAAAAGCATTTTTTCTATTGCAGTCTAAATTGCGCTAAATTCTTTAGTCTCAGTTTTTCAATATTTATTGTTTGCAACTGGTAGTTCTTGATGACATCATGGATTTATAGGTTTGGTCAGACTTCGGCAGTTATGCGAAGAAATTACATGATGATGGACTTCACCTTTTCCTCATCTTTGATCCAGCGATTCAGGTCAATTATCCATCCTACCAAAGGGCAATTAACATGGTTCGTTTGAAAATTTTTTTTTAACCTAAGAATAGTATTCTTATCGACGTAAAAGATGATGAGTGATGTAACTTGAAAGCTTTATTACATAAGTTTTATTATTTTTGCAGGGCGCTAGATTTATAGAGTGGGAGCGAGCAGATCAAGCACCTAGTGATATTAATGGCCTTTATGAGCTCACTAAAAACAGCAAAGTATGTTCTAGTGACAGTTTATTAATTGCGGTCTAAATTTTTCAAACCTTTTTTTCTTAATGTTGTTGTTCAAAATACATTATAGATGATCGTAGTTTAATGTATTAAGATTGGACCAAGTTTTTTGCGATTTTACAGCGAAATGTAATTTTGACTTCTAACATATCAAAAATTATTTTTGTTTTTTTAAGGTCATGCTTGGTGTTGTCTGGCCTGATGGACACACTGCTTTTC